GGCTGGATCTTGAGTTAGACTGATTCCCATTTTTCTGAGCAACCGCCATTATGAGGGTGAGCCTTAAGTTTGTAACCTGGCTCTGCATCCTGTCCCTAGTCAGCCATGACATAACTGAGCTGAGACACCTTGCCACCACAGGATGAACCACAATGCCATTTCAGCCAGGCCATGATGGACTGTGTTCCCAGGAACCAGTAGCCACAACAAATCCTTCCCTTCATTGGGGATTCTGTCACAGTAATGAGGTATCCTAAAACATTTCATCTTCATGAAGACTTTGAAGATAGAAATTATTTCCATTCCATACATGAAGAAGCTGAGGCCTAGTGTTCAAGTAAGTCGCCCAATGTTATAGGCTCACAAATCCCAAAGCCTGTCATCCTCTCTGCCTGTTCTCTCTCTTTGCTAATGTTTAGACTGTTTCACACAGGACTCAGAGCCTCATCCATCCAATGACTGTGGGAAGCTAGTGGCCCTCTGTAAATCTTCACTGTGCCCAAGGATTTATCCACTTGTAGTGTCTGGCCCAGTAATGTTTGTCCCCTTGTGATGTATGAATTGCTGTAGTAATTAAGATGCACACAAATGGATGGAACTGGAAGGAACCATCCTGAGTGAGGTAACCCAGTCATGAAAGGACAAAGATGGTATGTACTCACTGATATATGAATTTTAGATATAGAGCAAAGGATTGCCAGACTATAATCCTCTTCACCAAAGAAACTAGGAAACATGAAGGACTCTAAGGGATAAATGGTCCCCAGGAATGGAAGTGGCATGAACTCCTGAACTAATTGGGAGCATGAGGGTAGGGGGGGGGGGAAGGAGCTGCTACAATAAGAGTAAGAGAAGAGGAATAGAGAGGAAATGGAGGAGCAGAAATATTGAGTTGGGGGAAGAATAGGGGAGAGAGAGCAGGATGAGAGATGCCATATCAGAGGGAGCCACTATAGGTCCAAGAAGAGATCTGGAACCAGGGAGATCTCCAGAGACCTACAAGGATGACACGATCTGACAATCCAGGCAATGGTGGAGTGGACCCATCCCATGTGAAGGAGGGATGGGGGTGAGGGGAGGGAGAGGGAGAAGGGACTTACATGTGAAACAAGCTTGTTCCTAACTAGAACTAATAAATAAATTAAAAAAAAAGTGAGTGGCACTATTAGTAGGTGTCGCCATGTTGGAGTATATGTAGTGTTGTTGAAGAAACTGTGTCGATGTGGGGGGGGCTTTGTGGTTTCCCATGATCAAGCTATACCTAGTTCCACCCACTTCCCATTGCCCTGAGGTAATTTAACTCTCAGACACTCCTCCAGCACCATGTCTACCTGCATGGCGCCATGTCCCATCTTGATGATAATGGACTAAATCTCTGAAGCTGTAAGCCACTCAATGAACAGTTTTCCTTCATAAGAGTTTTCATGGGAATGCTGTTGCTTCACAGCAATAGATTATCCTAAGATGGTGGGGCTATGTGGCTCCATCATTGGAATCAGCTGGAAACAATGAGACAGGAAAATGCTCGTGTCTTGCCATGGACCTCTGTCTCCAAGGATCTGGAGAGGCAGATACATAAACACACACACACACACACACACACACACACACACACACACACACACACACACGCACACACACACACCCAAAACTCCCATAAACAATTAGGATGCCAATAAAATGCATGTTGTGAGCTTGTGAGCTTACACACTACTGCCTGGATCCTCACAGTGTCATTCAGGACACAGGCTCTGCTTTTCATTTGGAGGAAGCAGAACAGCCTGTGTAGCCATCTAACTTCTACCCAGATTCCAAAGTTCTTCCTTTCAGGTGGCACGAAGACTGATCTGGAGCTGCCTGTGACAGTTGGAAACTGTAGATGACATGTTAAGGTGAAGACTGTCATGGGAGAACTGGGCATAAAGACTCCTGTTGTTCAAATTCTTATTGATATCATGGGCCAGGATTGCATGCAGTCAATTGCTGTCACCTGTCAGCATCTGTATCTGAAGGGCCTGTTTCTACACCTTGCTCATCTGCAGCTTCAGCTCTGTGTGGAGGCAGGGCGTGGATGATGCATCCCCAATAGTCCATGTAAGGAGACAAACAAGTGAGTTTGTAGAGTTGAGTGACATAGAGTCAGGAGAGACACACTCAGCCCCAAGAAGAACCAGAGGGAAGAGGGAATGTATAGAAGCCCTTGAGGCCCTGAAAGAGCAGAGCAGCAATCCTCAAGCAGGTGGCACATAAGCCATGTCCCTGCCCCAACCATTATGAGTAGACATGTGCCTCAGCCCCTATTGCAGTCTCTGTGGCCCTGGATTGCATAAGCCAGAAGAGCCACGCTGGTTTGTAAGACAATGTCAGTTGGTATCTGATGTAATGCAGGTAAGGGCTAAAGTCCCCAGTGCTAAACACCACCAAGCCCTCATTACCTGTGCCCAGGAGCAAAGTATCTGAAGGTCTGAGTCCTTGCTTCATAGCCAGGGGGTTTCATCCCTATAATTGTCATCAGATTCGCATGGAACCTAAAG